GTTCACCAGATAATTAACCCCATAAGGGTCAGTTCACCCAAAGTTACTCTTTACTTCCCGACTTAAATCTCGGGACGAGATTTCTTGTAGTGGAGGAGATTTGTAACATCCCCAACATCATGCTACAGTAATCTCCCCTAATGGTGGCCATGTCATCGTGATTACTATGCAGCTTGCCACTTGTCCAAAAATCAAAGCCTTTTTCAAATTTAAAATAAATCGAGCTTCACCAACGCATCCACGAGCTCCGCTCTGCCGTTCTCCACTCCTTCGTCTCCGACCATCAGCAGGAGCTGGGAGGCCCCGCTGAGGGCATTCTTCTCAGCCCTTCCGCCTCTGTCGCCAACGATCCTTGTCGTCTCCGGTGAACCCTGCAGCTACTAATCCGTCGAGGGATTTTCTTAGCCGCTCGGTGAGCTCCTCTACCTCCTACTCCTTCCCGGTTGCTCTCTCGCGCGCCCTAGATAGCTATCACCAACGTGCCCGAACACGGCGCCGCCGATGAGCTCGTGGCCGTCGCCACAGTCGCCGTCATGCTTGCCCGAGCATAGCATCGTGCTCCTGGTGCTTCCAGGAACGCAACACGCGCGTGCACACATCCTACCGTGCCCCACATCACCGTAGCCACCAACGCCCGCCGCCATCTGACGTCGTCGTGCTCACCGCGACCCCTCCTGCTCCACGTGTGGCTCGAACTGCGCCCACGCGCGCGCTGCTGTCACCGCTCGTGCCCGGTTCATGCGCCCCCGCATCCCCCATCCGCTACTGCCCCGCGCGCCTGCTCATGCTCCCCTGCCGCACCCACGATGCCTGTCCTCTGTGCTGCCCCGCGTCGGCATTGCCCGCTGCGGCCACGCAACCCCGCGAGCACTGCCCCGCGCCCTCTCGCCCCGCTGCTTTGCTGCATGCAGCGGCGCTTCTCACCACCGCTGCCGCTGCCGCACGCGGGCGCCTGTAGCCTGTGCCTGCTGCTATGCTGCACAACTTCAGTAACATTCAGTTACTGTAGGTATTGTAGCCTTTCTATTTCTACAATGACTAACCCTCTAGACAGCCGCTAAATAGCAACAAAAACGATAGTTGACAGGAGCCAAATTATTATGTGAAGGTAGTACACTTGAAAATGCTCAAATGTTTCCATTGTACCAAATCCATTTGATGTGTGGTTTAATTCCTACGAAAATCACAAAGTTCAATATTCTGTTAAGAGAAAACTGAAAAAAAACAACTTTATTTTCGTAGCTACTTTAGAGCTGTTGATGATCAAGCTAATGAACTCTAGTATGGATAAAAGTGATACTAACATGCAGATCGCACAAAAATGCTCAAAATTGATATAAGGCACAAAATCACACAAGCTACAGAACAGTACTTGCAGCCTTTGGAAAACAGCCAAGTGATGTTTAAAACTGTCGAGTTCTCAGACTTGGCAAAATTCCAGGGATTTTCAGAATATTGCTAAAACTTTGATAAATCTTAGAAAAATAATTCGTAAATTGGATGGAACTTCTTTGTACATGAAAGTCGCTCTGAACGACGAGACGAATCTACATACGCAGTCCGTTCATCTGCCACATGTCCCTAGCATAGCGAACCTGCAACTGTCCCCCTCCGGTTCGTTTGTCCGAAAATGCCAAACTTCGGAAAAACTTTCCCGGATGTTATCCCCTTCGCCGGTATCGTGTAACCCTGCGTTAGAGCACCCCTAGCTCCGCCCGTTGTCTTGTTATGCTTATGTTTGCTTGTATTTATTGTTTCTCCCCATCTTCTCTCCGGTAGACCCCGAGACCGATGTTGATGCTGATGTGATCGTCTACGTCGACGAAGACCCTTCTTCCCTTTCAGCGGAGCTTCCAGGCAAGCCCCCCCTTTGATTATCCCGATATCACCCATTCCATTCTCTCATGCTTGCATTAGATTTTGCTACTGTTATTGTTTGCTCCTATTCTGATGCATAGCCTGTTTTTGTAACCTGCTTATTGTTACCTTACATGCTTATCCTAAACTGCTTAGTATAGGTTGGTTAGTGATCCATCAGTGACCCCCACCTTGTCCTTGTTGCCCATGCTTCATAATTGAAGACCCGATCAACGGGATCGAAGACCAGAGCCCGACACCTCACATCACGTCATGCCCCTTTTGTTGCTCGACTCTGCAGAGTTACCATCGAGTGTCGAGGGTGGAACCTCATACATCACTCCTGATGACATCTCTGTAGTGTAGCTATTCGGTCGTGATCATCAAGGGTGATTTCCTCCTTAACCACTTCCGATACGACTCTGTCGTGCAACCCCTCAAGTGTGAACCTTAAGGGTCGATCCCCTTACGTTCACCTTGATGATTACATCGAGTGGAATTCACCGGGGGTGATTCCTCGGGTTTTCTCCTTGATGTTTGGACACAGGATACTTGGACTTTACAACTGTTGCTTGGAAAGGCGGGTCGACCCTGAGGGGTACCCGCAAGTGATGTGGAGACGGGTTGACCTGGAGGGTACCCAAGAGTTGAATACGAGGGTGACCGAGCATTCTTAGCCCTTGCCGCAAGTCCTCGAGACGGGGCGACAGGGTCACATCTTTCGTGAGTCTCTGCTCGTGACCGCACTGCCAACACATTAACGATTATCATATTTGATCCGAGGGGCCTCTGGCCTGATAACACTAACCATCACGTGGGCATAGTATGGGCGTTCTGTGTCATATGCATCAGCCGAAGCTTAATAGACGTCAACGACTGAGTGGCGCGCGCCGGGTTGGACTGGTAAGCACCTGCCGTTTTAAGGAGGTAGCTAGGTCTGCTCATCGGCCGCCCTCGCAACGTGCATGAGTTTTCGGGCCAATGTCCCATGACCCCTGGGGGCATAGGTTTAGTCCGGCGTGCTGACCTCTCTATTAAGCCTAGGTCGGGTTGCGGCGTATTGTTTGGCCGAGGCCGGGCATGACCCAGAAAAGTGTGTCCGGCCGGAGTTAATCGAGCGTGGTGGGTAAGTTGGTGCACCCCTGCAGGGAAGAAAACATCTATCGATAGCATGTCCTACGGTAACGGACACTTGGAGTTGTATCCAGATCGATACAATTAGAACTGGATACTTGAGGTGATAACTGGATAGTATGGCTCTGGGATTGCTTTCTCGCAGGGAGTCGAGAAAGGATCTCTGGCTGAGGTTGATAACACTACTACTACTTTACCTTATGCTACTCTTATCTCTTCCGATGCTGCAAGATGCTTGGAGCTGCTTGAAGATGCTAGTCTTTGATAGGCTAGGCTTTCCCCTTCTCTTCCGGCATTCTGCAGTTCAGTCCACAGATACAACCCATTTCATTGATACCGATGCATATGTAGTGTAGATCCTTGCTTGCGAGTACTTTGGATGAGTGCTCACGGTTGTTTTGCTCCCCCTTTTCCACCTCTTTTCATTCTTCCCGGATGCTGCAACCAGATGGTGGAGCCCAGGATCCATACGCCACCTTCGACGACGACTGCTACTACACTGAGGGTGCCTACTACTACGTGGAAGCCGCCGACGACCAGGAGTAGTTAGGAGGCTCCCAGGCAGGAGGTCTTGCCTTTTCGATCGATGTTGCTTTTGTGCTAGCCTTCTTAAGGTAAACTTGTCTAACTTTTGTCTGTACTTAGATATTGTTGCTTCCGCTAACTTTTGTGTTTTCGAGCTGATGTATTCGAGCCCTCAAGGCCCCTGGCTTGTAATATAAAGCTTGTATTATTTTAATTTATGTCTAGAGTTGTGTTGTGATATCTTTCCGTGAGTCCTTGATCTTGATCGTACACATTTGTGTACGACTGAATCGAGGGCGTCACACACGTGTCGCGCTCTGGACGCTCCCTTCGGATTTTATTTTTTCTTATTTTTCCGCACGCGTTTTTCGCTTTTTAAACGTTTTTTTCCGGGTTTTTTCGACGTTTTGGTTTCCCCAGTCTTCCTTAGCTTTTCGATAAAAAAAATGTTGAATTTTTTTTTGCATGAAAAAAAATTGTTTTCTTTTTTTTTCTTTCGCAAAAGTCACGGTTTTTCTTCCGCGAGAGGCACGGTTGTGCTTTCGCGAGTCATGGCCGTGCCTCTCGGAAAAGGAAAAACAAAACGCGCTTTCTGTTTTTTTCTTTCGCGAGAGCGACGATTTTGCTTTCGCGAGAGGTATAGTTGTGATTTCGCGAGAGTCACGGCCATGCCTCTCGAAAACGAAAAAAAACGTGTTTTCTGTTTTTTCTTCTTCCACGAGAGTCACGATTTTGCTTCCACGAGAGGCACGATTGTGATTTCATGAGAGACACGGGCGTGCCTCTTTCAGAAAGGAAAAAACCTTGCTCCCGGTTCGGTTTTTTTGTGATTTTTTTTTCATCAAACCTATCAACATGGGATCTAGTTTTGAAGATCTCGACGTGAGGAATCCAATGATGAAAATAGTTCAAGATTTGGACGCACGGTTTATAAAAGATAAAAAGTTTTGAATAAACGGATCTACGGAAAAAAGGAAACTCCCAGGTCGCGACAAGTGACACGCTGCATGTGCGTCACTTGTCGCGATATGCGAAAGTGGAATGTTCTTAGCAATGAGTACTTCCTTAAATCCTTGTTTGGTTACATCCCTCCACAAGAGGATTGGAAGGGATTTGAGGAGGTTTTGACTTGCAGGGGATTAAATCCACTTCAACCCTGCCAAAACCCCCTTCGAATCCCTCTCAACCGAACACAGCCTAATTAGTGATTTTGGCGTCTTGGACTACGCTGGGATTTCGGCTCAGCTCGTAATAAGAGATGGGCCGAAACGAAAAGGAAAGCCCAGCAATCCAGTGCCTCCCCTCAAAAACAAAGAAAAGAAAACCGGCGAGTCGAGTGCCTCACTTCTGCGATTCCCCTTTGCGGCTCTGACCTCTGCCACCAGCCGCCGGCCTCGCCTCGCCGTCGCCGGATTCCCTGAAGGCCAGATTAGAGATTGAGCTCAAATTCCCGAACTATAAGCAGCGCGGGACAGGGGACAGAGATGGCTGCTGTCGGCGCGAAGGCGGTGCCGCCCACTCTGCTGTCGCTGTGCCTGCAAGCGGTCGCCGCACATCTCACCGCCGACGCAGCAGGCGCGGGTCGATCTGGTGGTCGCGGTGCTCATTTCGACGGGCTCGTCCAGGAGCACGAGGAGGAGGAGGAGGAGGAGGATGGCGGCCACCTCGCGCCGGAGCAGGTCGCGGAGGCGCTGCCTTGGGAGCTTCTCCATCAGCTGGCGTCTTCTCTGCCGCCGTTCGCTCTCGAACTGCTCCATCACGGCGCCCATGCCCGGTACCCTACCCCTCTCCCTGTCCTTCCCTCCTCCCATGTACCATGGATGCAGTCTATCTTCTTCCATATGTGGAGTACAGTGTACTGTATTCCACTCCTTTTAGTACAATATCTTCTTACATTTTCAAAGAGAAATTGGCTAATCACTTTGCATTTATAATTGCCCATCCCAGATGCTGCTCTTCCACTTCCCTTACGGATCGATCCGGAGAGCCGGACGGCAATAGACGTGGGACTAAACGTTCAAGGTGACACTCATCTACACACCAATAACTCAGTTGTTGTATTTGTTAGAAGAAACCGGTCAAGAGAATATTCTTAAGTATTTGACAATGTTGATGCAAGAGAATACTCTTCAAGTATTTGACAATGATGATGCTCGCAGGTGTGAAGACTTCAACACTGCATGGCAGGCATTGTTCGAATTTCGCTGGCCCCTCCATGATAACACTGGACATGATGACTTGGTTACTGTAGATTGGCAGCAGCGATACTGGGAAAAGCATTTGCAAGAGTATGTTATCAAACAATTACATATGGGTTAATCGTCAATTAATCCATTCTGGATCGACTTCGTCACTTCTTTTTACCTTTCCACAGGTGCCTGGATGAAGCTGCCGAGGCTGCGTTGCTTCCTTTATTTCGTGGTAGTATTGGTGAGCTAAGTATGTCAGGTGAATATATAAAACCTCTTCCTCCTTAAGTACTCCTCCGATCCAAAATAAGTGCCAGGGTCGACCACGATACTTATTTTTGATCGGAGGGAATATTTGTTATGCTTGACATTGTTTGGTTATTTACTCATCACAGTAAACAACTATCTTAACAACATGAGCAATGGGCTGATTTGTTTTCTAGCCAAGAACAGTTTTATGTTATGCTTGTAGTTAGTTGTAGCGATTGAAATTATCTTCAAGTCTAACTATAATCTATGCAGATAAAATCATGAGTTCCGTTTACCTCAGTGAGAACATAGCCCAACAGTATTCCAGACTGTCATATCATTGGACCATACTTGGATCTTATGCAAGGTGCGATCATATGTCATTTGTTTGTCATATACCCAGTTCCTCTTTAACTCATATTTAACCTTTTCATGGAGAACTGCCTGGTGCTAGTGATTTATATTCAATTAAAGAAACCCTCACTCGTCAGTAGTTAGAAATCGATAATAATCTCGTGGGGATCTCTAATCTGGTCATGCGATGTTAGTTTTCTCAGTTTAATTACAACATGAACCTAGGTTAGATCAGGTTGTTTCTAGAATCCCTCAAGAGCTATGCAGAAATTGGATTTTCTTAATTCTTACTATGTAAAATTTTCTCATTTTCAGGTGCTTGAGATTTCAAAATGTGCTTTGCACAGCCGAAGTTTGTGTAAGTGCTCAAGCAGTACCTTGTCCCTTTATTTTTGCACTGTCTATGATTAATTATCTACGGTCCGTAGCATGTGTTGTTTCAGTTGTGCATTTGTATTGCTGTTATTTTGTTGGTATTTTGTTATTTGTGTATCTCTCCATCATCCATACAACAACAAATGTGCACTCAGATTCCAGAATAAGCTGTCGTTTGTGCTATATATATTTGCATATGTATTGTGAGTTCATCGTTTAAAGTTCAGACTTATGACAGTTATGGTTGACTGCTAGAAATCTGTTGTTTTTCAGGACATGTTGCAACATAGCAGGCTAGAAACGTTGGTGTTCGTAAGAGTCATATCAGAGCTTGAGGTAATATTATGCCTGCGAGGTTATGTTGGTGCATGCAATAGCTTTAGGAAAACAAACATGCAGAGCCATGGGCTGCAACTCACTTAAAAGTAACATTATGTTCAATAGTTCAAGTTTCCATGTCTCGTAAACTGTACCATAAGAGACATAGGGAAAGTTAAGGTTGAGGCAGCATTATTAAGAAGCATGACAAAGAACTTACTAGAAAAGAAAGTTTTACAGCGGATAAGCTACACACTTGTTGTATCCTTTTCTGCATGATGTCCCATATTGTTGCTTTGCTCTGTTTTGTCAACTGATAGCAAACGAGGAATATTCCAAATTTAAGCCCCTTCTCAATTTCTACTGACAGGTAAATGGTGTATGCCTGCTTCTGAGCTGCCATGCAAAGACACTATTATCTCTTGAATTTATCCACTGCCAGCTTTATCCTGCAGTCATGGATAAAGTTTGCACTAGTCTTCGCCAGCCAGGATCCCAAAACTACAAGATCCAGTCCTTTAGTATTAAATCATCTCGCATTGATGAAAGCAAGTCTCTAACCACCTCTGCTGGTCTATTAAATCTTCTGTCATATGCAAAGTAAGTTGCATGCCCTCTTATTCTGCCTTGGTTTTATTTTCAAACAGATGCTGGGGAATAGCCCGAGGAATTCAACTTTTTCTTTATTATTCTTTTTCTAACAATTGTTGTTGCATTATTCTATATAATGGCACTCTAATTAGATGCTCAGTTAAATTTTTTCCAGCCATTTTATGACATGATTTCATAATCTAATTTAGGTAAGAAAAATGCATCCAGCAATTTTATGCATTTGTCACGAGAATATACAGGAGCAGGCCCAGAACATAAAGAATGGGTGTTGAAAAATTTGTAAAAATGTCGCTCAATATAAAACATAGAAGTTCACAATAGCAAAGAATCTGCAGATTGTTCCTACTCGGGACAATAACTCAAATGATTTACAGGAATTGCAAAACATTATGGAAAACTTACAGTTTAGGACTAAGAAATTATTCATTATCCTCAACTTGCAAAATAATTTATTTTCTTGAACGCGTAGGAGAGCTGTGTGTCATTTCATTAAGGAGAAGAAAGAAGTAAGTGCAGGGGGAGGGGGCTAGGGATTAAATCCCATCTCCACCCCAAACACGCCCACACACGCCCAGGGTACCCTGGAACGCTTCCCATACTTAAGATACAGCGACCGACTCACAGAAAACGGACTACATATCCAGTGTAAGCGACCTTAGGAGCAAAAACCTGGAGTGCAGCAGCCCCAGCCAAGCACCAAAAGCCACTCCCACTGGCAACTTCAAATAGCACTACGGGAATATGATTGGTTGTGCACCATTAAAGACTGGCCATTTCTGTGTTTCCAAACCCTTTTGCACGGCGCAAATTTAACAGAGTCAGGAAAAATAGCTTGTATCATGACCTGACCGAGTAAACCTTCAAATGTGTTGATCAGGACTGTACTGCTGCAGAGTAAAACCATCTACCAGGTCCCATAAATGAGATACATTCAATTAAAGACTTGCACAGTAAGAGTACCCTCGGTGTCGGAAACCCATCTATGCCCCTCCAAAGCTTGAGCAACCGTGCATTGTAACAGCATTCATTCACTATTGTTCTCATGTCGTATTTATTAGTTTATGCTTCACATAAAGTATTAAAGTAAATACTTTCTCCTAACACCATGGAAAGATTTAATTCCATTTTGAGGGTTGTGTGGAATGGGCACTGCTAGTTTGGCTGTTCAAGGTCCTCTTAAAAACCTGGATATGACCGTGGGTTTAACCGGAAACTGAAAAGCGGTGCCAGATTCAGTCATGTTGAACTCTTACATGTTTTACATGAAAAGTCAGTTTGCATTACTTTATTCAGAGTACCATGACACACCTATGGACAATATACGGCCGTTCATTTATCTTAAAGCAGAGAGCAGTAGAACAGACTAGAATTCCAAAAGAAAAAGGTAAGAATAAGAGTAACAACATGTAGAGGTGAAAGAAAATTCACCTATTCATCCTGTCATTCAAAGGAAGTTTTGTCCTCGCAATCTCCTGCCTGCATCTCCAACCTATTAGGTTATTTGGGATTTAAGTTTGGTATATGCAACAAACTGGTTATGATGCCTGCCTGTAAGCATAAATGGCATAATGTTGCTACTTAATTACTGATTGTTTGCCAAAAAGATTGGGTGCACATTAACGCTGTTTTATTCTTACCATTGTTCAGGTCGCTGCAGTTGCTGTCATTTAATGATGTTAAGATGCAGCCATCATTTGCTAAGATGATTATTCATACTCTCCTTGAATCTTCCTCTGGTTTACAAACGCTTGACTTGTCAGAAAACAATGTGGGTTCACACAAGAACATTTTCTTCTTTGATATCTGTCTTTTGGCAAATAATCTCTCTTTTATAGCTTGCAGGCTGGCGTTCTACTGTAGACAGAAGTTCTACAAGTTTCTCATCAGCACTGAAGTCAAATACATCCTTGAACTCCTTGACTGTTCTTAACCTAAGGTATTACCTGTTCCCTTTCAGCACCCGCCAAGTCTTCATAATTAGAAACCTTGTCACCACTTCCCTTTTGAAGTTGGCATGGCTTGTGTATTAAAACATATCATAATACTTGTCATGTCAGGGGAAACAATTTGCAGGAGGGGGACATGGAGTATATATGCAATATTCTAGCAAAGATGTCTAATTTGAGAAGTTTAGATATAAGTGACAATCCAATCACTGATGAGGGTATCAGGTAGTCTTCAGTTTTCTCTAGATTTGCATCAATCATGAGTGCATAATAATCCCTCCGTCCCATAATATAAGACGTTATTACATCCAATATACTCACATATTGGATGTAATAACATCTTATATTATGGGACAGAGGGAGTATTCTTTATGCCTGTGGTCAACTTCAAGACAATTTTTCCTTGTAGACTCTGTTATGTTCTATCAGTAAGCACTAACGAGTTGCATATAAACATTGCAGATACCTTATTCCTTTCTTTGAATTAGCTCTTCAAAGGGGGAATCCAATTCGGAAATTAAGAGCAGAGAACTGCGATTTGTCCAGTATTGGTGTGACTAAACTTCTTGAGTGCCTCACACCGATTGATAAACCACTTGATATGCTGTCTATAGCAGATAATCATCTTGGGAGGCAAGTCCTTTCTCCCGGTGCAGCGTTTCTGTTGTTTCTTTAGGTTGGGCCACATTTTGAACTGAGATGAATTTGCAGTTCTGTGGCAGCTACATTAGTAAAATTCCTGGGTTCACATGTAAGGGAGCTCAATGTTGAAGACATCGGCCTAGGACCACTAGGCTTCCAAATACTTGAGAAAGCATTGCCAAGGAAAGTAAATCTCTCCCACATCAACATCAGGTAGAAATCTCTGCCCGAGTCTCAATGATGCATGCTTGATGTGCAAGTTTCCTTAGCCACTTCAAATTTCATGTTGCAGTAAGAACCGTGGTGGGATGGGTACTGCGCACTTCATTTCCAGGCTGATACTGCAAGCGTCAAACCTTGTATCAGTCGATGCAGGATCTAACCTTTTACCTCCTGAATCGTTGGAAGTGATTTGTAATGCATTGAAGCAAACAACATGTGAGAAACCTGCTTCTTCGTATTCTCCTTCACTATGTTTAAGGTTGAACCTAATGGGCATGCACCAAAGAGATTGGTCAATAACCAGTGGGTCTGTTGTAGGTAACTTGACGCGAATAGACCTGATGGGCAACCTGCAATTGTCAAGTGCTATCTTCCCTGCAGTCTTTGAGTTCAAGAAGCGCGGAAAGCCAATCCTGCTTGTTCCGTCGCAGCAAGGTAGCTGTGCTCCCTATGATGCCGACCCGTAACCCGTAAGTAGCACTTGCTATACTGAGAATTATGAAAGGCAGCTCTTACTGTTCCTTCGCAAGCTTGGGCGAAACCTCCTATTTGCATGATCAAGGGACGCATGGTGCTTTTGCTGTAGAAGTTGGAGAAAGTGAACAGAGAGTTTCAGTTAATAAAGCAAATCTACTTGGGCAACCAGGAAAAAGAGGCTTAGACGTTGATTGGGGCAAATATTTATGATCATTCCTTCATCAGATCACAAGTAGAATGAAATCAAGCTTAATTCGAGAACCCGACCACGAGTTGGTTTACGATTGGGTTCCATACCAACACAAGTTTAACCTGTTCCGTGTTGTTAAACGGGAGGACCCTGCTGGTTTTTGCATGAAGTTCGGTCCGAGAGGAGGCGCTTAGGTGGTCCAGACTGTTGAAAACAGAAACCTCCTGATGAAAGAAATTCTGGCTTTGTTTGCGTTTCTACAGCCATCTATCTCGAGTTAGGCAGAATATCTTTGGTTCCTTTTTTTTGTAGTAAAATACAGTACAAAAATAGATGTAAAGCCAAACATACTCAACTGCTAGTTTCTTTTAGAGAGGAGCTGGTGCTTAGTGGGGCGTTGCCCAATTGTGAGGGTGAGGTAGACATTGTCTCTGGATAAAAATCTGGCCGATGACTAACTTTCAGGCTTCCAATGTGTAGACCGATTAGTCCCAGTAGTCATAATTAAATTATTTATTTAATGCAATATACTCCGGTATTGTTAACAATTGTTGGGATGGCCGAGTTGGTCTAAGGCGGCACATCGAGGGTGTGTTCCGAAAGGGCGTGGGTTCGAATCCCACTCCCAACAAAATTATTCTTTTTTGTCTCTTTATTAAAACGTTTTCCCCTTTATAATTTCATCATAGTGGATTTTTCGTTCTAGTTGGGCCAGAGTGATTAAGTTCGTGGCCCATCTTCTCAGGGCCTGCATATTGTGCAACAGGATCATAGGCTGACCCATTTACCCATGTGTCTGTTATATCTTCTGTTTAATATAAATAAAATTTGCTAAAAATATATATAAATAAAAGATTCACAAAAATATAAATAAATAAATAATAAAAATATAACAGAATATTTGCCTGTCGTCCACCAGTTTATTTTCGTCCGCCATTTCCATCTCCTCCTGTTTCTCTGTCCGTCACACACAAAGGAGTTTTTTCTCTTCCCCCCTGACCCCGTACGTGGCAGAAAAAACTAATCTTATGGAACCCAAAATCTCGAACACTGACCCTCTCCTCCCTCATGTTCCTTCGATGCAGCTGCCATTGACTCGCTAGCCGCGGTGTCTCTCGGCCAACACTCCACGCGCCCTCGTGATGCCATCGCCCAGCGATCCCCACCGAAGCACGCAGGGCAGGGAAGGACTTAACCAACTTCCAGTGCTTGGCAAGTACTTGGAACGGTTCAATTGTGTGCCCGAATAAGAGTATCGGAAGCCCGGCTTACAAGAGCCAAACCCGCAATGTGCAACTTTATGCTACTGGGCAAGAACCCGAGGATCCACCAAAAAATGTTGAAAAAACAACCAGGTCTACTACTGGCTCCAAAACATCTGCAGATAATACTCCAAACACATTTCACAGCAGAATATTGGAAGAATAGAAACCAAGCATGTGCGTGTCGTTCCCAATCCACTTCCCGTCATAAGGAACACCCACACACACTTCCCGTTCCAAATGCTCCTTTATGCGACATGCTCAAGAAGATTCCGTTGCCACCTGATGAGAGGATGTTGGTTGGGATGCATCTATGCAAAGCCAGAATTTGCAGTCCATCGAGGTTTTCTTGTCAGCATGGGTCAAGAATACTTGGAGCGTTGGACGAAAATTGATCGGCGTGGACGAGCTCGCGCGCTATCGGTATCTGGAGGCATTCGTTTTCCCTGAGATGCGTGGTTTTCGTGGTGGGACCGTTTGTTGGTTAGGCGAGTTAATGCGTGGTCGTGACGGTCACGGGACGGCGTGGTAGACGGAGTGGGGCCCGACGTTAGAACGACGGTGACGGTGATCTCGTGAAGGGCAATTTGTGGGAGCAACTAATTACAGAGCGCTCCTTCGGGAAACTCGCAAGGATCAGCGTCACTTGGCGCGCTCTTAGCCATTTGCCACGTGTCGCGCTCTGGGGCACTCCCTCCGGATTTTATTTTTTTTATTTTTTCACACGCGTTTTTGGCTTTTTAAACGGTCTTTTTTCTGGGTTATTTTTGATATTTTGGTTTTCTACCGGTCCTCCCTAGCTTTTCGACCAAAAAAATAATTTTTTTGCGCAAAAGAACACATTTTTTTTTCGCGAGAGTCACGGTTTTGTTTTAGAGAGAGGCACGGTTGTGCTTTCACGAGAGGCACGGCCGTGCCTCTTGGAAACGAAAAAAAAACGTGTTTTCTGTTTTTTTTCTTTCGCGAGAGGCACGATTCTGCTTCCGCGAGAGGCACGGTTGTGCTTTCGCGAGAGGCACGGGCGTGCCTCTTTCGGAAAGGGAAAAAAACATGTTTTCTATTTTTTTTTCTTTCGCGAGAGGCACGATTTTGCTTCCGCGAGAGGCACGGTTGTGCTTTCGCGAGAGGCACGGTTGTGTTTTCGCGAGAGACACGGGTGTGCCTCTTTCGGAAAGAAAAAAAAACGCGTTTTCTGTTTTTTTTTCTTTCGCGAGAGGCACGATTTTGCTTCCGCGAGAGGCACGGTTGTACTTTTCGCGAGAGGCACGGGCGTGCCTCTTTCGGAAAGAAAAAAACGCGTTTTCTGTTTTTTTTAATTTCGGGAGAGGTACGGTTTTGCTTCCGCGAGAGGCACGGTTGTGGTTTCGTCAGAGGCACGCGCGTGTCTTTTTCGGAAAGGAAAAAAAAACCGTGTTCCCGGTTCGGTTTTTTCGTCGGTTTTTTTTGTCCGGTTTTTTCGTGAAAAAAAAGTTTGTCAAAACCTATCAACACGGGATCTAGTTTTGAAGATCTCGACGCGAGGAATCCAACGGCGAAAGCGGTTCGAGATTTGGACGCATAGTTTAAGAGATAAAACATTTTAAATAAACGAATGTACGAAAAAAGGGAAAACTCCCAGGTTGCGACAAGTGGCGCACATGCAGCGCGCCACTTGTCGCAACCTGAAGAAGTTGGAGTAATCTCCGCAAGGAGTACTCCTTAACTAGTGATTTCGGCAGTTTGTCGCCCGAACGCACAGGGAGTACACAGTTGGGCCGGCCCATGAAGTACAGATTGGCTGCGCTCGCATATACTGTAGCTTAAAAAAAGCACACTTGCTGGGGATGGAACCCAGAAACCTGGGGAAAGACTCAGCGACAATACCAGTTGAGCTATCGAGCCTCAGAGGTGGTAAAGCAGCGCAAGTCCTTAAGAACAAAACGGCAGTGCAGATCCCATATACTTTTGAAATTTTGAGCAATTTTTTTTCTGAAAAAAACCTAATATTTTGTGAAACGCAAAAACTTTCAAATTAGTTAACAAATTGGAGATAAAAAACTGAAACATTTTCCAGAAACCAACGAGGCTACCTTTAACAACATTTGAATTTGCAAACAAATTTAAAACGCTTTCTGAAGATAACAAATTGGTTAATAATGTTTGAATTTTCAAACAAATTTAAAATGGAAACTTATTTGAACTTTGAATAAATGTTGGAAAAAGGAATATTTTGGATAAAAACAACAAATTTTCATTTGTGAGCAAAAAATAAAAGTCTGAACAAAATTTGGGAAGTGAACACGATGAACATTATTTGCATTTATGAATTAATTTGAAAACAGGATACATTTTTGAACTTATGAACATTTTTCTAAAGGTGAACCCTTTTAGAAATATGCAAACATTTTTTTTTTGAAAATCAAGAACATTTTTTGAACTAGTGAACAAATTTTGAAAGCAGGATTTTTTTACTTATGATCTTTTGTTGAAAGGCAAACATTTTTTTCAAATATACGAACATTTTTTGAGTTTGTGAACAAAATTTGAAACAGGAACATTTTTTGAAAGGAGAATTTTTCCCAAATATATGAATTATTTATAATAACCTTTTTTTAAAACATCTGAACAAAAAATTTAAAAACAGAAACATTTTCTGAAATTGTGAACAATATTTTAAAAATAACATTTTATGAAATTCCTGATAGACTTTTTGAAACGGGAACATTTTTTAAAATTGCGAACAAAATTTGAAAATAAGAACATTTTTTGAAATTTCTGAACATTTTTTTAAATTGGAAGCAAATAAAAAATAAACTGAAAATCGAAAAAAGGAGAGAAAAAAGAGGAAAAAGAAATAAGAAACATAAAAAAGAAAGAAAGTAGAAAAAAGCCGGTTCAAGAACCTTCTAGAAGTTTCCCAAAACCATAGAAAACCGGCTGGAAACCTCTAAAAGGTTCCCAAAACCGGGAATGTTGAAACACCTAAACAGGCCGGCCCAATCCTAATAGCCGATTGATCCCCCTATGCAAAACCGTTACAGTTTGACACAAAGCTTCTAAAAGGGGAGCAACTAATTAACGAGCGCTTCTTCGGGAGCCTCGCAACGATCAGCGCCATGTAGCGCGCTCACAACCATTCGCCACGTGTCGTGCTCTGGGCGCTCCCTCCGGATTTTTATTTTATTTTTACCCACGCGTTTTCGGCTTTTTAAAAGTTTTTTTTTTGACGTTTTGGTTTTCTACCGGTCTTCCTTAGCTTTTTGATCAAAAAATAATTTTCGAAAAAAATAAATTTTGCGCAAAAAAATGCATTTTTTTTCACAATAGTCACGATTTTGTTTTCGCGAGAGGCACGGTTGTGCTTTTGCGAGAGGCACGGGCGTGCCTCTTTCAGAAATGGAAAAAACACGTTTTCTGTTTTTTTTCTTTCGCGAGAGGCACGGTTTTGCTTCCGCCAAAGGCACGGTTGTGCTTTCCCGAGAGGCACGGGCGTGCCTCTTTCGGAAAGGGAAAAAACGCGTTTTCTGACTTTTTTTTTCTTTCGTGAGAGGCACGGTTG